GTTGCAGGCCATTGCTATTAGGTTGCAGGCCGTTGCTATTAGGTTGGCGGCCATTGCTATTAGGTTGCAGGCCGTTGCTATTAGGGCTTGTCTTTTTTTAAGGTGTCCAGTTTATGTAGGGCTGGGATGTTCGACTTAGGCGAAGCATACCCCGAAGCATACCCCCGAAGCATACCCTGAAGCATACGCTCTGAAAATGCTACTACTTTAGTCTTCACACTGCACGAAGCATACCCCGAAGCATACCCCCGAAGCATACCTCCGAAGCATACCCCATAGTCAAACATCCCGGCCCGGGAACCTTAAAAAAATACAAAACCAGGTTGCAGGCCGTTGCTATTAGGTTGGAGGCCATTGCTATTAGGTTGCAGGCCATTGCTATCAGGTTGGAGGCCATTGCTATTAGGATCGAGGCCATTGCTACTAGGTTGGAGGCCCTTGCTATTAGATGGCAGGCCGTTGCTATTGGGTTGGAGACCGTTGCTATTAGGTTGCAGGCCATCGCTATTGGCCATTGCTGTTTGGTTGGAGGCCATTGCTATTAGGTTGCAGGCCGTTGCTATTAGGTTGGAGGCCATTGCTGTTAGGTTGCAGGCCGTTGCTATTAGGTTGCAGGCCGTTGCTATTAGGTTGCAGAACATTGCTATTAGGTTGCAGGCCGTTGCTATTAGGTTGCAGGCCATTGCTATTAGGTTGCAGGCCGTTGCTATTAGGTTGGAGGCCATTGCTCTTAGGTTGCAGGCCGTTGCTATTAGGTTGCAGGCCGTTGCTATTAGGTTGCAGGCCGTTGCTATTAGGTGGCAGGCTGTTGCTATTAGGTTGCAGGCCATTGCCATTAGGTTGCAGGCCGTTGCTATTAGGTTGGAGGCCATTGCTATTAGGTTGCATGCCGTTGCTATTAGGTTGGAGGCCATTGCTATTAGGTTGCAGGCCGTTGCTATTAGGTTGCAGGCCGTTGCTATTAGGTTGGAGGCCGTTGCTATTAGGTTGCAGGCCGTTGCTATTAGGTTGCAGGCCGTTGCTTTTAGGTAGCAGGCCGTTGCTATTAGGTTGGAGCACTTGTTTTGCAAATTTAAAGGCGGCGTCACAGCAGGGGATTGAAGAAGTGTCCGGTCTGATCATCCTTTTCAAAGGAAACGCAGCAAATGGGACTACAATCATGGCTTAGATATGGTGGTAGATAGGGATGATAGGGTGGTGAATGTATTCCACCAGTTTTGAGCATGTTGGCCTGTATTGGAAACCGTCAATTGTTAGCTATTTTCTGTAGAGGCATTCAGTTAGAAGCCAGCTGTGGGTTGCGCGCTGGTTTACACACTGAGGTAAGCCCGCGAAGGGTTTGGCAACTTCCAGAGAGAAGGAACAAGTGCTGGACAAGCCTGTCCCAAGTGAGACTTGACATTGACTCAGCATTGCAGGTGTGGTTGATGATCTCTTGTGCTGACATTTCAGATGGATGATGATGGGTATATTGTTTTCCAGGAAGAATTCAGGTTCAGCATCGGGGAAGTTCAGCCACTTTCCGTGCCTATGTTCAGGTTGTAAAAGGTTGGAACAAAAATATGGAGCCCGGGAGCAGTGGCTGCCAACTCACAACTCACAACCCTCGTGGGGGGGTCCGAACCCCCCCATCACGAAATGAAAGGCCCGACAACTCACATCCTTGGATCCATTTAGATCCTGTAAACATGGTGTTGTTCCAGATTCATACCTAGCACTTCCAATGGGTGTTTCATGGAGACCTATAATTAGTGTAGGGTTGTCCATTGGTGACCCATTGGAAGCAGCTGGTACAAATCTGAAAATATTTTCAACAGATCGGTCTTGGAACAAACAGCCTCTCCAATCCCTGCCAGTGGGTCAGAACATGAGCCTCCGCTTAAAAAAACGGCGCTCGGTCACTTCCGGCGAGCTGAGCATGAAGTTCCTGAGAGCTCATTGGGAAGTCCCAGAGAGCTCGTGGGATCTCTCCCTTGGCATTCATGGGCATTCCATTCGTGGGAAATAATTCTCATGACCTCGACGCACGTGAGGAGAAGGGTCTTTTCGTCAGAAGGTCCGAAGAAATCATGGCTTTTCTTGACCTCCAACAGCATTTTTGATGGGAAAGAGCACCTACACCTATCCACTGAGCTCCACCCTCCCAAGCTCAGCTCGGGTCCAGGTGAGCTGCGCAAGAAAAGTCTTCTTCGTCACAACCCTGCAGCTTCCCACAGCTTCTAAGGGTGGGTTGAACCCAAAAACAGCTGAATTCTCCCCTTCCGACCTCAAGATCTGTATCTGAAATATACCGTGGGAAGGGACGAGAGGAGAGGGGAAGGGACCACGAAAGGTCGGTCCGATGGGAACCCATATGGAACCATCAATGCTCAGCTTCGAAGAGGCCAGTCGTCTACACCGTTCTGGCGACCCGACCCGACCGTCCTCCTCCGAACACGACGGAGGACCCGAAGACTCACCACAGCCCGGACCCTCCGGTCGACGTGACCGGAGGTCGTGTTCTCCCCGAAGACTCCAAGCTGCCGATCCCAGCGCCTCACGTCGACACGCTCGTCCACACGTCGACTCCACCTCTCCTCGAGCCTCGAGGTGAAGATCATCGAAAGTGACTTCATTGCCTCGGCGGACGAAGCGCCCATGTCGCTGCCGCCACACTGTCCCATCGTCCTGCTGTGCGGCCCTGTTTGCAGGGCTGTGGAGCCGTTGTCTGTGTGAGGCGTAAACTGTACAGAGTTTTGCCACAGACTGGAGAGTTCGGCAGAGAGAGACTCGAAGGATTTGAGAAACAAAGTTGCGGCCGAACTGGAGACAGGTGCGACAAAGGCTTCCCAAAACATGGACACTACCTGGACACTTCAATGCACATCTAAATCACGAAAGGTAGCGGTTACGCTACCTGAGTTTTCCTTTTGCTTTAGCAAAAATGAATTATAACCAGAGTGGACACCCATCTCACTGAGAAATCGCCTCCGACATTTACTTTTAAGGGCCGAGGGGGAGGGGGGGCCCACCCCGCTCCCCCCTTTCAACTCCACCCTGGCGCGGGTCTTTGTCAACAGCTACAAAACACTGTAAATAGCAGTGTTTTCAGCTCCTCCAGTCTGCAAGAGTGGCCTCAAACCACGCAATTTACATGGTTTTCTGTGGCTGTCCGGCCAAAAACCTCGTAAAAACCGATGGTTTTTTGAAGTGTCTAGGCTTCAAAAATGGTCGAAACATTGCCAAAAACCTGGAAAGATTTTGTCGGAAAGGGCTTTTTCGGCGTTTGGAGGCTTCTAAAATGGCACAAAGCGACGGTATTTAAAGGCTTACGCCTAACAGCCGGGCGCCGGCACACTAGGGTCTGTGTAGGGCTGGGTCGGGTGCACGTGCAGCTATCGGGGCCGTACAGGGCCCTGGGTGGGGGCAAGGTGGGAAACTGCTCGGCGTTGGAGACGGGGGCCGGGGTCTGGGGCACAAGTTAAGCTATCTGGTGCGCATCTTGGCCCTAGGTTGGGCCAAGTTGGGCCCATGTGGTCTATGTTGGGCACATCTTGGGCCCATGTTGAGCCTATGTTGGGCCTATGTTGGCCTACGTTAGGCCTATGTTGGCCTATGTTGGCCTAGGTTGGGCCTATGTTGGGCCTATGTTGGCGTATGTTGGCCCCATTATGTTGGGCATATGTTGGGGATATGTTGGCTATCTTAGGCCTATGTTGAGGATATGTTAGGCAATTGAAATCGTCTGGAAGGCCTCCACAAAATGTCGATTATGCTTGTCCGCCCGGCGCGCATTACCGACACCACCCTTGAAAAGCACAGGGTTTTGCATTTTTCCATCTTCGCCGCGTCGTACTTCGATAGGCGCAATAAACCCTATAAAGCACCGTGTTTTTTGTACCTCACGCACAACACACTGTAAATTACAGCGACTTCAGTCCCCCCGTTTTGGGAACGAGGGTCGGCGGCAGGGGGCGCGAGCGTCAAAAACCTTCGGTTACCACCGAAGGCCCTCCGGGCATGCCACGGGCTTCCTGGCCGGCGCCCGGATTTACACGGGTTTGTGCGCCCTCCCGGCACAAAACCCTGTAAATTGCGATGGCTTTGGGCTGTTTACGCTTCAAAGTGGCCACAAAACACCGTAAATACCAGTGTTTTCATGTGTTTTCAGCTCCTCCTATCTTCAAGAGTGGCCTCAAACCTGTATATTGGGATGGTTTCAAGCTCTGTACGCTTCAAAGTGGCCACAAAGCACCGTGAATACCTTTAATACCAGTGTTTCCAGGGTTGCGCCAGATTCCCTGCTACCTTTCGTTCACCCCCTCCTCTCTCAAGTTTGGATATTTCTGATGAAACCTCGTATATTCTTTGTTTTTGGCCGTGTTCTTTTTATGTCACTGCAGGACGTGCAGGACCTATACTATATCCAACGCACATACCACAGTTTCAGTTGCAGGAGGAATCCAGCATTGCACCCACGCCCCATCAAGCACGCTTAAAGGAATGAGAAGGCTACGGCGATGATTTCGGCCACTCCAGTCCAGAGATTCAAGGCTTGCAGGCGGCTTGCTGGTGCTCTTTTTCTCCCATCCGTTACTGGATTTGACTTGGCCACTGCGAGGTTCGGGAAGCATCTTGCCCGGACGGATGTTCACCCGCTTGCTTAACGCCTCAGCGAGCGAAGGAGCTGGAACTATCCACCCGGACGACGCGAAGATCTGTTGGACGCACAGTTTTTGGATACCGAGAACTGCATGAACTTTCGTCCACCAGAAAGAACACGCCTCCAAAAACACCAGCAGCACCATGACCACGGAGCAGCGGCGGGTAGATGGTCGGACGCCACGTCCAGCGCAAAACCGTACATTGGCGAACCATTCTCAGACCGTTTCCTTCCGAGGGCGAAGGCAGGAATCACATCGCTTCCGCAGCTGAATCGGGTGGGGAGCGGGAGATGTGTTACATACGCAAGTGGTCTTCCAATCAGGTGGTCCTTTGTGGTTGGTACACCTGGTCGACAACCTGACTGTATGCGCCGTGAACGACCACATGTGCCCGGGCCCTTTGCTTCGTTGTTTCTTTTGGGGGGGGAAGGTGCGAATTTCTTGGGGTTAACTTCAACAACAAAGAATTCCGCGTATATCAAGCAATAAAACAAGACAACTACATTGCGAAAGGTCATTTTTAAGAGTCGCTCTTTGATTTCTTGCACAGTTGGGAGAGGATGGCGTGGCTTGCCATGCTCCTTCCCATTTCCCTGGAAATGTCTATGTGCCAAAATGCTGTGGCCTGAAGAGCTTCCAAAGATTCTGCATGGTAGAGTTCAAGATCTCATGTTGCTCATAGCATGAAGAACTACCTCAAATCAGTGGGATTGTGGCATTGCTACATCAGCGCATACAACCCCCTAAACAACCCCATTGGATGCAACCTGAGCATGTCAAGCCCAAACCTCAGACTGACAGATCAGCACAGTGACCTCAGCAGGGACGAATGATGTCAAATCCCGGCCTGTTGAGCGGGCACGGCGAATGCGGCGAGCAATGAAGAAAATGAATGTGACGGCCCAGCTGGGTGCTGCATAGGTGGCATGGCCAAAGTTGGTACAGTGAGTCAAGGCTCAAAATAGTAAACCAACCAACCCCCTTTTTTTGGTACCTTACTGGCATGAGACAATCTATCTTTGAACGCTTTGAGCCACATCTAAATGATGGTGCTGAACAGAGGCATTGCATATCGGATTTCAATACTCTCAGGTCCCAAAGTCGAGACGGGACAGGGGATGGAGAAAGGAGATAAGGACGACTAGGAGGGCGTTTTTGCATTGCAAATCCCCTCTGAATGCCAGGTTTGTGTGTCTTGATACAAGAAAGATCATAATTTGGCAGGAATGTATGACAAGTTCATACAAGTTCGATATCCATCAAGACCTATGCACCTGTCTTAAATGGCTTCAATCCCATCCTCAGTAGAAGTCGCCCTCACCGCCCTCGCGCGAGGACTGGGCGTGTGCCGCGGGATTCGCTGGGAACGCCACCAACGAGTGCCGCTTCAGGGAGGATTGCGTAGGCGCGGTCGCGGCTGGGCCGTTGAATTGGTGGTTTCTTTTCGGTGGGTGGGTGGGTGGGAGTCTGAGACCAATGGTGTCAAACCAAAAAGGCTCATGGTTTGAGAATTTCATATTGAGAGATTGAATTATGATTGAAACCTCCAGAGGTTTCCAGGACCCGATAGACTATCTTGGTACCCCAGGAGTGACCTCTCTTGGATGAAACATGTTCCAATTGCATGGTTTGGTCGGATTCCTCGCCATCGCCAAAGGATCGGAGTGTTTCTCCGACCATGTGGGGCCGATGGGTGGAACCATCGCCCGGAACGTGGCCGTCTTCATGTCCAGCGGGAAACCACGACTGGGGCCCCATGGGCTCCGAGGTAACTCACCCCAGACCAGGCAAATGGGACCGGAAGATATGCCACCCCAACCCCCCAAACCACCCCGATCGGTCAATAGTCCCACAGCCACAGCCCCTGTCACATCTACAGCCCCTGGATGGGACGAACCAACCACCCAACTCCATGTGGGATGGTTACTGGTAGCGAGCTTTTGACGTCTCCATGTGGTTCATGGACACCCCTTCTCCAAAAAACGGGGCGAAAAAATCGACACCCCGATGTACTTAGGGGGCCCTGGATGGCCCTGGTACCCTAGGGATCCAGTCGTACCTTCTCAGAAGGTACGACTGGACCCTCCTGGCACCTACATGTCTCCGTACGAAAACGGATCCCCAGGATCCCCAGGGGTAGGTTGTCAGTCCCATGGATGGTTTGGGTCCGGTCGATTCCTTCAGCTGGGAGAGGTATAGTCAGACCTCGATCGGGCCTCGAAGGAGCCACCTTCATCCACATGCGGGCGGACCGCCTAGCTTTATGGGACCAGATGAATTGCGCATGACGATCCGACGATTAAACCATGATCAACTTAATTAAGAATTCTAATGAGTTGGTTTGCATTATGAAACGCCAACCATTGTGCAAAATGACCTCATTCAAACCGGTCTTTTTGCTGCGGTATCATGGGAACGAGAACAATGGTCCATGTGATCTATCACACATGTGTGGACCATATCAAGAGAGATCAGACAAAAGGCTACAAATGGTACCCTCCGGATAATGCCATGTTGCAGAGGAACCTGGCTAACATCGTTTGGTGAAAAACAAGACCCTCCGGAGAATGCCATCGATGTTCACTCCATTTTCCATCGCCGGGACCTGGTGTTTTCTTTTTGGCCTTCCGGCAGGTGAGACGTTCCTGTCAGAGTGCATTCCAGCTCCTGGGAGGATCATAGCGGAGTCCAGCGCCGACCGGCGTGGTCGGGTATGGCACTTCGTCCCTGGACCCGACTGAAGCATTTCGTAGAACATGGGGAGATCACGACCCGAAACGGGCCCAAACAGCTCCGTTCCTGGTGCGAAGTCGGTCGACTCCAGGTACAGGACAGGTACCGGACAGGTCGGTGGAACTCCCGCCCCGTCCGACTGGTCCATGTCGGTATAGAGTCTAGAGCTTTGCACAGGCACCGGTGGTCCTGGTTTTGGCTGAAGGGAACGGTGATGGTTGATTTTCCCCCATGGCCCTATGGGTAAATCTTCTTCTCCGGAAATATGTTGTTTTTCTTTTCCTGAAGCAAATCCAAGTGGTGTGGGTGTTCTTTTTGAACAACCTCGGGCTTTCTTGCTCTGACTGTCATGATCCTGTTCGGTGGAGAAATCACGACGATAAAGCATGCACCGAAAAACCAACGGGTAACTCGTTGGAGCACGACGTTGGAGGGCCCTGGCGGCCAGCGAGGCTCCTAAAAAGGTTCGACTTCGCTGGACATATCTAGATATAGACTATAACTAAAAAAACTATAAATAGACTATAAATAGACTATAAATAGTACTATAGCCAGTTGGGAGCGGCGGGAGCAACGGGTGCAACGGGTGGCTTCCAGTTCTTCCCAGATTCTTCCCAGAGGCAGCCCGCTGTTTGGAGCTAGAAGATCCCGCTGTTTGGAGTCATTTCTCGTTCGGCCAGGTCCATCAGAGTTGGCCATGATCTTCGAACCATGGCCCTTTCACACCAACTCAAGGCGGCCTCACCAGCTGTAGAGGTCAATGTTCACGCTTTCCTTTGGCCAACCCCATTCGTGGTGACCCTTTGGCCAACCGAGTGGAGAACCTGAGAATGATTCCGGACTTGACCATGTTGTTTGTTCTCGTCTCTATGTCCCACGGTCTCTATGTATGTTGCTTTCCTGCTTTCCTTCTGAAGTTGCTCGTCTGTGTTGCTTTCCGAAACCTCTTATCCCACACTTATAAGCAACATTGTTCATCCTTCATAGACTCTTGTTTGTGCCTCTCAAGCCTTAGAATCGGTCTCGGTCTCACACCGTGGCACGCGCTTCTCAGGTCTCGCATTGCGCGCTGCCCTTCTTGGACCCATGCACTGTGGAGCACCGGTGCGGTGAGACCTTGCAGCCTGGGGAGACGTGTGAGTGCGGTAGCTCAGGCGAAAGCGACTACGCCTACGCATTGACCGAACGCAGCCTAACCCAGCCGCGCGGTCGCTGCGAGGCGAAGGGTTCTGGAAATAGAGTCCGGACAGTCTGAAATTCCTGCAGATGTGCAGATGTTTTGATGTTCTTTCCTCAACATGTGCACACGAAAACGTCTTTTTCGGTAGATGGGAGACATAGACATAGGTTTCTTCGAAGGGTCAACTAAAAACATACCAACACCTTCATGTCGGGGTCACCTGGCTGGAAGCCCCTACACCACTAAGGGACCTCCAGCCAGGACACCCCTAAGAGCGGTCCAGGTATCATGTTCCAGCAACTCTGACAAGGTCGCTGTAGATACTGCTGATCTCGGCCATCGGCCACGCTCGAGCATCCCCGAAGTCGGCGCTCCGGGACGGGTTCATCCGTTACGGCTTGGGACACCAGGGCCGTGTGAAGGGGGTTTCTTGGCATCCGGCCGGCCGTTGGCCAAGGAACTGCGGGTGTTGGTCTTCCAGTTTCCCCAAATCGGATCTGTCTGCTCTTCAGCGATGCTCACCTTGCGGGTGGGATCGTTTAGGAACGACCGCACTGGAATTCGTCCTGAGGTCTTGAGGACCGGGAAACCCTGGCGGCCAGAACTGGACCTGTGGACTGACTTGACCTGTCTTTAGTACCCTTCGTGATATCTCGTGATGGTGGGAATCTGCCAGTTCTGGATGTTCTGGTAGATGAGGTCCTTCATTGATTTTCAGAGGGGTTGTTGGAGCTGTGCCCAGGAGTTGGAGCTGTGTAGCTCAGGAGTTGTGGCACTGAGCCGCTGTTCATTCCCACGGCCCCAGCTAAAACCATCGCCCCACCCCAGAGAGGTTTCCTGAGCCTTTTTGCGCCCGGGCCCCACATGTACCACCGAGCAGGGTCCTATGAGGTCTCAACAACAACCTCTCTTGGACCACGACCCGTGGAGACCGTCATGGCGACCTCACACAGGTGAAGCCATTTGTGGCCGTCCACAGAGGTCGCTTGGACGCCACTGTGGGCAGTCACCCCCTTTTTGGTGCATCAATTGTTTGCAGCGCAGCTGTCAGGTTGCGATGCCCGACGCCCACGCAAGGCGCCCCGTTCTTCTTTTTTGTCTATCGTTTTTCTTGTTTTTTCGTACCAGGAGTCACAAAGGGGTGCCCATTGGAGGATACAAGGGTGCCCAGAAGATCCACTCACTGGACTCAAAACCACCCCGTCTTGTGACTGATATAGTCAGTTATGTTTAGATTGGTTATGACTCTAGATCTTCGGTTCTTTAGGGGCTTGGGGCACCAATTCGAGGAATGGAGGAGGCCCTTGACTCGGATTCAACATGGATATTGGGAAGAGAAGAGGAAAACAAAAGGCAAGAAGACAACAAAACCACAAAAGACCACGGCGACACACATAAGAGCTGCGACAATTACCGCTATGATGCATACCAGAAGAAGGAAAGGAGACATGTGAAAAAAATAGGGGAAAACAAACCACACCCACGGATACTGCGTGAACCTGGAAGGCATTGTGTCCAGCGACCCTTTGATGTTGTTGGAAAACTACGTCGAACTGTTTGAACAAGAACTTTGTGCATGTCTCCTACTATGTATATGGGTGGGACTTGCGGGACTTGCAAGTCTGCTTGTAAGTTTGCTAACCTGCTGTTGTAAGTCATCTAAGTCATACTTACAAAAGCATCAGTGAAAGCTAAGTGATTGGAACCTTATATGTGACTTAGAGGGCTTGTGATGGAGTTTGTTAACCACTTAGCGAGTGAGTTGCAAGTAGCTTATAAGTCCAAGAAAGGTGCCAAACGTGGAACCTGAAATTGGCATTGCTAGTAGAATGGAGGCCAGCCCAATGAGGTTGGAGGCCATCGCTATTTGGTTGGAGGCCACTGCTACTGGGTTGGATGCCATCGCGAGTAGGTTGGAGGCCATCCCAATGAGATTGGAGGCCATAGCTCGGGGGCGATCCCAATGAGGTTGGAGGCCATTGCTAGTAGGCTGGAGGCCATCCCAAGCATGGAGGCACTCCGGGCTTCGCCTACTGCCCCCAGCTGAACACCGAACCTGGTGCCTGGGCGGAGTGCCTCGGCAGCAGGGCAGGAGGTTTTTCAATCGATGTCTGGGAAGTCTCCATTTTCTCCAACTTAAAGCCATAGTTATGCCAAGTTAAAACCATACATACTTACAAGTATATGTCTAACTAGGGGGTCCTGGGATGGGTTATATACTGTAATGTTATATACCTCAAGAGTCTACATGTCCGCCGACGTCGCGTGAGCTGTGAGAGCTGCGAGGGAGCGACTGAGCGTCAGTGTGACGGGAGGAAAGAGATACCCGACGAAGTCTTCGTACTCTAGAGTTCATGGCACATGACCTGAACAAAAACCATCGGTACGACTGGGGGCCCCATGTGATACGATAGGGTACAGGTCGACTCCGCCCCATGCCTCCCCCCCTTGGTTGAGAATCGTCTACTTACTTCAATCACCCCCAACGGAGGATCGGTCTCGCCAGGTCACAGACAGGTCATCCTCCGCTCCGAAACGCTTCCGGACGGACTCATTGGGTGGGTTTTGCTCGAGAGGCAGAAGCGATCTTCGGAGGTCTGGTGAAATGGATGGTGGTTTGTTGGTCAAACATCATGGGGATTTTGGTTGCCTATCAGGAGGCATGCTGCAACGAAGGCCTTCAAGGATTGGCTGAAATTGACAAAAAAAGGTGGAGTACCGGTCAAACATCATCCCATTCACTTGGAGAAGGAACACAACTTGGTGATCTAGTGGGGTAGACACAGCTTTGGGGTAGACGCCGCGATCAGGATTCAGCTGCCTCAATGTGAGTCTCCTTGCATCTACTTGGAGAACGTGCAGGCGCAGGGGATGCGATCGCGGCGATGGGGAAGAAGATGTTTGATATTCTTTGATGACTGCGATGAGGTTGATGATATGGTTAGGGTCTGTCCGTTCTTACCCGCAACAGTTAGTAACAAGCAAATCACTATTTTTGGACAAGGCCTGGTACCTAACCATCATCATCCACTGGGCCCGGGCCCTGCTAAGAACGGATAGATCCAAGATATGGTGGCGAGTCGAGGAAGAATCAGATGAGCCTGAAGTTCACTTCACTGAGTTGGGGGTCGAGTACTCCTCCTCCTTCTTCAGACAGTGCAGAGAGAAGTTGGGCCGCCCGTTACACTCTGACTGACTAACATGGAAGTGGCAAATCCTTTGTTTGTAAAGGAAAGTCGTTTTCCAAGGCGACATTGTCCACTTCCATGATAGTGAGTCAGAGTGTATATAGATGTCTTCAGATACCAGGGCTGAACATGACTCAAACTTAAGTCACTCACTTGGGGGCTGGTCGGCGGTTGGCTACCTGTCGTGGAGTTGACCACAAACAAACGCCCGGTTTGATACCCGCAGGTGTCACAGTGTCACAGCTCTGTACTGGCACTTGTTGCCCTGCGAAGTGGAGTTTCAGAATCAGGGCCGCTAGAATCCAGGGCAGTGCGATTCCTTCCAAGAAAAGGATCGACACGGTGGAGTACCTAGCTGTACCTAGCGGGCTGCTGAGGGAGTTCTATGCCCCCACGGACTGCCGAAAGCCGCTACCGTGTGGAGGTCTTTGGCCAACGGCACCTGGGTTTACCCCAGTCCCAAGCAGAAAGGAACCAAAGGGTTGGGAACAATATATGGCGCCACTGGTCTGAGACCCTGAGAACATCATCTCTTTCTGGTTTTGGGACTATCACAAGTGCTTGGGATGGTGTCCGGACTGCAAGCTGCAAGCTGGCAGTCCCAGAGGGCGGTTGGCGGTTGTGTTTGGGATTGGTTGTGCAATGTTGTACATCAACTCGGCTCAAAATACAGGCAGCTGACAAAGTCCTGCCCAAAATATCATTAGAAATCCATGGGAGACTCCAGTTTGGAAAAAAGCAGGCCAACGTTGTGGACAAAACTGGCCAAAGTTGTGGAGTGTTTGGGCGTGCGTCTGAAAATTTGGGAGAGACCTCCCAAGATTCGGGCTCCCAGCTATTTGATTCACTGGTGGTGAATGGCAGGATCTCCCAACTTCATCCTCCTTTCTACTTAGGGTGAAACACCATCTCCATCTCTGGACGAGTCCCGCACCGTTGCTGCTTCATGCCGTGCAGTGTTCCTACGCGGAACGCACTTGACTGGTGGTTTCTCTGGTGATCTTCGGTGCCAGGCTCCCTCGAACTTCCTCAGCTGCGTGGACTTCCCGGGCGCCTGCACGGCGGCGGAAAACCTCACAGGCCGCGGTTGGGACGGCCCTGCGGCTGGGACCTCGGAGGGTTCGGAAAGTTCGGCGTGGGCGGAGCCGGTTCCGGGGCAGAGGTGCTTTTCTGGAGGGTGGAAGTGGGTGGAATTTTGGAACGTCACCTGTCGTAATTCATCTCATTGGTTCCGAGTGACACATCCAACACACATAACAAAGCACTCCGGACTTGGAAGTGGATGTGGAACAAACGGCACTCTACTTGGTTCCATACAAACACATATCATCATATCCTTTTGCTTTTGCTGGTGGCGGTTTTCGAGATGAATTGGTTTCGACCCTTGGACACTTGGATGAGACTTGGTTGGGACTTGGTCAGGAGTCCTTGGAGGCTTTCTTTTAGATCCTTTATTTTCGATCAGGGGGGCCTCAGATGCTGTTCGTGTTACAGTAGGAGGAAAATGAGTTACCTTGGATTTGAGTGGTTTTTTGTTACAGTTCGTGTTAGTGTGACCTCGGAATTTAGTAGTATTTGTTTTGAACAGAGGAGCAGAAGGGGACCTTTATCCTTGATTCATATGCGTGTGCAGACGTGTCAAGAGCTGACAGGTGAAGACTGCAACCAAGTGGCATTGATTTGCCTTAACTCGGCATAAATTATTCAACTGGCAATTATGAGATGATCCACTTGCGATGTGCTTAGACATGTCACAGTTTTAGCTACATGCTGGGTGTTTTTTGTTCTCGTTCCTGCGCCAACTGCTGCATGCTTCACCCAAGAGGTGTTGCTGGAGGTTTTGACACTTCACGGGAGGAACAAGAACAGAGACTTATCCTCTTAAGTATTGTCCGGCCGGGCGACACGGGGCATGACAGAAGATTGAATCAAAACCTTGGGAAGACTGTTCACCAATCCTTTGCCTTCCCTTTTCCAACTGCACTTTGCCACAATTTTGGGTTCCTAGCTTCAGATTTGCTGAGGCTTTGCTGGGTTCAATAAGCTGTTTATATATTAGCAAACTTAAAACTTGGGAAGTTGCCGTTCTACAGTTGGAATAACTCAAAGTCTTCCTTCCAGTGCTTTGGAGAACAGCAGTTGCTTTACAAACCGAGTCGACGCAGAAAATGCGTCGGACGGTGATGGACAACTCGGACGGTATGTTCTTACTCCATTTGTTCCACCCAGAACACCCGTGAGCCACACACGAAGGCAGGTACCAAGCCATCGGAGAACTCACACCCAAGGCCAGCATTTTGGCATCGAGCCCATCCGGACAGAAACCTCTTGGTGTAGCTGCTGGGAGCCCGCCCGCCCCCCGTGGCGCGCCCGTGGCGCCCATTTTTGGACGAGGTGGTATAGCTGGAGACCATCCTGAAATCCTTTGAAGAAATTCACGATCCGGATGAAAAAGGGACATGACTGACACCGTGTCGATGTCCTTCTACGGTTATTTGTTTAGAGGGGAGACCCCCCGTCGTGTACCACCAACAGGTGTGGTACCGAATCGACCCGTCTATTGTTCCCCAGGTCAGACATGGGACATGACTGACATGACCCCTCGGACTGAGGCACCTTTTGAATGGTATCGGTCCTATTGGATGAACATGGTATGATTCGATATCTATCATGATACATGACTCATGACCCCTATCGAAGCCACCAAATTGATGAGTAGGTCTCGTGAGGCCCAAAGAAAGGTCGGATGTTCGTTCTCGCTGCCAGGTTGGGCCTGTGCAAGTGGCTTCGGAGGGAACAACAGCATCTCCTGCCACATCGACAGGCGGCGATTCAGTGCTTATACTCATCGGCTGACCAACAGAGGTCGTTTCTGGATCCACCGGGGGGTTGTAGAAGATATATATGACTATACAGTGGTTTCAGATGGCACAAGTTAGCCCACGGTCGGTGGTCTATATAGACCCCCATCTAAAGGCCATTTTGAGTGCCATCTACTCTGAAACTACTGTATATTTGGGCCGTTGAGGAACTCAATAGCGCAGTTTATATAGTTTCTTATATAGTAGGGAGATGTCGAAGGGTCACGAACATGTTCCCTTCAATGATGTGACCCATGTTGTGACTTAGTTCGTTCGTGACCCATGGGTCGTGATTGAAGGGTGGAGTTGTGGCACGGCGCAGCGCTTGGGTGCGATCGGTGTCGCGGGGTCAGGCGCTGGTCTGCCCAAAGGGACATGATGTATGCAAATGCAGGTCTGCCCCACCATTTTGATATACCACCCCGTTGACCAGCTTCGGCTGTCACGGTAAAAAGAACAAACGTGTTGGGATGCTGGAGGGTCAACCTTGGGATGGGCTTCTGGTGTCCACTTGTGAATGACCTGTAAGAGACTGGAAAGAATCCGAACTGTGCTTGTTGCTTGTCCTGGACATCTGGAAGGTTCTTTTTGATATGTGTAGTAGGGTAGGGTAGGCTAGGCCAGCTTGCCGCATCTCTTGGTCGTCTTGGTCGTCTCACCGGCCGGACTCGTGCAGCCTTGAGTCTCGCCGCGGCATTCTTGTGCTGAAACAGGGCATCCATCAAAGGCTCACGTTCGTGAGGAAAGGTCTTTTGGAGGTGGTTAAGTCATGAACAAATCAAAGGATTTACCCTAAGTGCAAAATGGACATGGACCTATGATGACCTATGTGTTTCTTCATGTTGTTTGTTTCCGTACGCACACTCGCAGAACCCCTGTTTCTTTAAGCAGCACTTCTGTCAGGGGCGACCCAAATCAGGTTCCACCTGGTGATCCAACCGTTCGGAGAGCGACCTGTCGGTTCGCGGACCTGACGAAGGTTCGTGACCGTCGAGATCCCAATGGCTGAGAGGTCAGTGAATACAGTCTTGTAAAAGGTCACTTAGGAGAGTCTCTAAAGAGGTCACTTTGGTTTGGGATCATTCTAGGACGCCTTCGGATAAGCCATGTCTAATGGGGAACACAACTCCAATGCTTAGCCCTAGGGATCCAGTCGTACCTTCTTGGGACCGGGTACAGTGATTGGAGACACTGTTATGTAGGTGCCAGGAGGGTCGAAGTACCTGCTGAGAAGACACTTGGATCCCTATAGGGGCCCTATAGGGGTATAGTTTATTAAGTTATATATGGGAGTTGATCGAAAACCCCGTGTAAGGAGTTTTATATAAAACAACCTTTCAGATGTTGTTAGAACCATCCGCGAAAGATTCGCGATGAGGTTCGCGAAAGTATCTTTTTTTTCCGCGAAAGATTTATCGAAGGTCATCGCTTTCATTGTTTCCCTTTCTACCGGACTGACAAAGAGCCAGTGGGCGGAAGTGTCCCCATATGTCACAGACTAACGAATTGAAGCCTCAACATTTCCGTGCCCGGGGAAAGCACCAGTGAAATTTCGCGAAAGATCCGCGAAAGTTTCGCGAATGTGCCGCTAAAGTCCAGGTTCCCAGCTTGAGGCCCCCCAACATTCCCCAAGCTGCATCACCCTGTGTTGGTAGCTGACACGAGGATTGGGTTGAGTTGTGCCTGACTCTATTTGGCACAATTGTCGCACAGATGCTGCAAGTGACCCTGAGTAGCTGTGGAAACGTTTAACCATCTACTGGGGTCATGCTGCAAGATGTCTCTCCCTATTTTGTGATACTATGACATGTTCCGGCTCATGTTAGCTAGACATGGTTGTAGGACCATGCTTCGCGATGAGGCCGCGAAAGATCCGCGAAAGATATCTTTTTTTTCGCGATGAATGGCCATTCCAGGATGAAAGAATATTGATCAACCACCATATGTCAAGATTCGTCATGCCAACAATTGTTAAGGATGAGTTCAGTGTTCCCAACATGGTTCAAGTCAACTTGCAAACCATGACGCGGGTTCGTCACTGTTATCTGTCCCTTCATCGCATGTACCCGCACTGAAAGTGCGCAGCCAGGGAGCGTGAGTGCAACGCCAGCTACGTCTTTGAAGGCTGCAAGCCTCTGACGAAATGTGCCGGCCTTGAAAACATCGACCCCTGTCAGTGCGCCCTGTCAGTGCGCCGTGTTCGTTTCGCGGCGGGGCGACATACGTCGATGAATCTCGCGGCACCTGATGCACGCGTGGGCACGTGATGGAGATGTGGTGCGGCGGTGCAAAAGGGGATGTGAACATGGATGGTTTTGGACTTCTGAGACTTGCGCCTTACGTAATTATAAGGGGCCGTTGCTTGAGCGAAACTAAGTGAGTAGCAAACCTGTTCCAACCCATGCCCCATATGTACCTGTTTTAGATACATGTGTACCTGTTCGTAAATGTGCTGAATCCTATAGTAACTGTCTCCGAAACTGCTTGAACTTTCCCTTACTTCACACAGAGAGCTCTTGGTTTTCCTAGATAGGAATTATCTCTATGGGTCTACCTGTCCCATGGACCAGGGGTTGTGTCTGGCGACGGATGGCGACAGATGGGCGACGCTTTGTTCCTTTTGTGGAGCATCTGGGGACTGGGGTTAAGATTCTCCCGCATGACTGTGTCTGAGTGGTTTGGAACAAGAATCCCGGAGTATCCGTGGACTCAGAACCAATACATCAGGCAAACTACGTCGAGTTGTTGATGGATTTGGATTCGCAGGCGTCGCACCTGGACCATTCTGGACCTTGCAAAACCACAAGATGAGCATCATTGGCTGAGAGCTGACCCAATTTAAATGGGGTAATGAAACCACAAGAAAAAATATGTGATCGTAGTTGAATGCCTGGTGGTGGATCGTGGCGGCAGGAGATAGGTGTCACCATGCGCAAAAGGGGGCTCATGGACCAATGGACCATGTTCATAGTATGAGTCATGACCACACTTGGGGGTATCATTACGGTTTTATCACTCCCTGTTGAATTGAATTGCTGAGTAGCAGCAGTAGTTGCTACTTGTCATTGATGATTCCCATGCCTCTTCACAGCACCAGGTACATTCACAGCTGCATTCCAGGGCTCTTGCCCGGGGATGCCTGTGAAGTTCGCTGCAGGCGGTCGCGAGGGTTGGGGCGCTGGTCTTGTGGGATTTGTTGGACTCATCCTCTGAGATCAGGATCAAACAACCTCAAAAAACCTCAAGAAACTATCCGAACTATCCCCTAGGCCCCTAGGTTTCCAGGCTTTACCAGGAGTCTACTCTCCCCTTGGCTTATGCAGAGTCCGGTTGGTGGCGGGGAGTCGGTCGAAGAGTCGGAGGGGTGGTTTGGGGTCAAAAGCTGGCCAACAAAGGCCTTCGACCAACGCTCTAACTCTAATCACTCAGATTGGTCCAAGTGAAAAGTGAATCTAATCACTCTAAGGCCTTCTAATCACTAAGGCCTGGTTCCACTCACTAAGGCCTTCTAACTCTAATCACTCTAATACTCAAATCACCTGAAAAGAGCTGAGAAGTGTGCGCTTCTCATGTCCATGCGCGACATGCGTGGTATATTGTCAGATGTGATGTCACCACCCCAGCATCGGACAGCGAGTCGGAGGTGGCCATCAAAACGTGCACTTCTTTTTTCACCAAATCCGAGTCCGGACCCCGTACTCATGACGATTGATCAAACACCCCCCTTTTCGATGGGAGATCTCAAAGCTTCGTTCAAGGCCTCCCACGAGTCTACCGAGAAAGCCGCCCCACGAAGTCCCCTGTGGTGAAACGAAGAACTCCACTGTGGACACGCAGGTCCTTCAGATCAGCCGCAGCTCCGCACGTGAATTCCATGTTGGCGGGTCTGATGAATTCCAACGTCTTACCAAAACCGTTGAGGACGACACGCTCCACGGTCAAACACGTCGTCCGTCCGCAGCACGCAAGGCCCCCCGACTTCGTGGGTGACCAAACCGTAGGCCTCTGCTCGTGGGAGAACACGGACGCTCGGCACCGAGGCGATTCGGAGCGGTCTCCGCGGTCGCGCGGGGCGTGCGTTCGGAGTGGATCCGTTGTTCGGAGCGGCGGAGCGGTTGGGAGTTTTGGTGGCCTACGCTCCGTTCGCGTCCGAATCGCTCCGTTCGGTTCGCGATGCCGCCTCTAGTTATAACGCGTCCGATCGGTGCGGTACCATCCGGCTAATCTGGGGGTTCCGAGGTTTTGTGCCGGTTCCGACGTGAAGCAACTCGATTGTTTGGGTTTGACCTCATGACCTTGGAGTTGTCTTTGTGCCCAAGGAGGTCGTCCTCCAAGGTCTTAGTGGTTTGTGGGACAGTATTGGAGTCATTTTTCAAGAAGTGCCATGAGCAGCCAAATGGGTGTGGGTCAAACCATTCCAAACCATTCCAAACCCATCTTTGTTGACCTCCAACTGGGCCCGTTCGTGTTGATGGGTCAACCGAGTGAACCTCCATGACCCGACCCAAGGTCTCCAGGTCCAAAGCCTGGTTCTGAAAACCTCAAGAAACTGAGTAGGTGTGAACTTGTCATGACCAACTGAACCAACTGTTTAGGTCTGGTGCTGAGAACAGCCGACGACCGGTACTTGGTGTGGATCGGGTGGACTCAGAGTCCCCACAAAAAGAGACTGTTAGTTGGTTTTAATTGGTTTTACATATCAACATCAATGTCCAGAAATTCTCAATTGAGAATGGCAGCCCAAGATGCATCTAGTCATTCTGATGCTGGCGCCACAAATTGAAAAGCGCGGCCCGTCAGAGGCGGTCAGAGCAGAACGCACTCGTCCAAGTCAATACTCAGCAGTATATCTGCTAAGTATACCTGCACAAAGAAGTTCATTGGAGCCCTAAAGCCATAAGAATCTACAATCCCTAGGGCCTGGGCTTGTACGACCTATAAATCCAATAAATCTACCAATCCTCATGTGTTTTTAGGTTTTAAGGGTTCTGGTGTTCCAGGCTTGGAGCCTTTTCAAGTTTGGACTTGTCTTCTTGGGTCACAGCCTGGGCCGACCCGCGAATTGGACGTTTGCCTCACCTACTTCCCCTTCAAACCCTAAACCTCTAAGGCGCATGGGGCCCCAACACTGGATCTTCGCATGGCCCCAGTCACCATCAGGTCGACCCCATGCAGCCCAGTCGGGGTCTCCCGTCGTTTCTATTCTTTCGGATCCACTCCGTCGTGTCCAATCCCAAGCCGAAACCAATGGGTGATCTTCCGGCAAGACAAACTGTTTTTGTGGAAGCTTTAAGCTGTCCGTGGTCTTAGACCTGCCAGCTAATATACAAGACAGAGATCCTTGACATATAGGAAGTATCCGTGGCCTCCTCTAAGGCACCGCCACTGCAGACCGCTTGAGGTCAGAACACCCGAGGTCAGACGACTTCCCGGTCGACCCACCAGTCGTCCCACCAGTCGTGTTCTCCGACGCCCCTGAGGATCCTTTGAAGCCACCGGCGATTGCTTGGCCGACCTGCCTGCCGCAGTGTACCGAGCCACGCGACGCGCCGCCGGCAGGCGGCATGGAGAGGGGTGGATGGAAGGTGGGGTTGGCCTACAGAGGTAGCCAGTGACCTGAACTAGGACCCTACAGCAGTACCCATAGGATAGTCTATAGGGTTCTTCAACCTCTGCTGGTAGCCGCGGCACTGGGGGGGATGGCATTATATAGATTGGGGGGGCGACAAGGGGGTTGGATGGACTGTGAAATGGATGCCAATGTTCGAACCAAGACGACTGGTGGACCAGTTATGAACCAATTCAAGGGTTTTGGATTGTGATAACTATTTCAAGGCAGCACCGCAGGATGTTGCAGGTACACCCTCATCTTTTCACCCAAGCACCAAGCCCAACTTCTTCGCGACTGCGGAAGAACCAGCAAAAACTGCAGTGATTACTTGGGGCTTGAACCACTGGGTGGTGGTTTCAGATATTTTGGATGTTCAACCTTTCCTTTGATGATTGATTTGCACCGACCGATGTTTTTTGCCTCAAACACGTTGAAACGACCACCGAACCAGATCGCCACCGGTGGTCGTTTCCGTTTCCACGGGTGGCTCGGCGTCGGAAATTGGGGTTTCCAGCAGGCACAGACCTTCCCGTGGTGGGGACCCCATGTTCGGAAGCGGAGGAAGCTAAGCAGCTCAGCTGGCAAGCCTGGAGCCTTTGTGGGGATCTAACAGACCGAACCTGAGGGAGAAGGTGATTGGAGACCATTTATGCCGCTTGGAGAGGGTCCAAAAACCTGAAGAGGAGGTACTGGGACTCAGGTGTCAATTCACAGGCCACTCGGGTCAACCAAAGTCACAAGACTCCAGACCACCTCCACCCTCCTCCCCCTGCAGTTTTCCATGTGTTTCCCCAGTGCTGCTGCACTCCGTCTCCAGGCTACAGCTACAACGCCACCTTGGACGAGTGGAGCTGCGCTGACGGATACCTAGGCGAAGCGGTGTCCCACTGCGGCCCGAACTTCCAATGTGCCCTCAGCCGGGCAGCCCGGGCGGGGCGACGTGGGCGGGTTCGCCGACTGACACAGACCCAGTACCCTAGAAGATGGGACATGACGAAAAGGCACAGGGACCTCGGCACTTGTACCCTTTTTTTCGAGGTACGTAGTGAGACTCCGACGTTTAAGGATTTTGCTCCACTTGCCGGATCCGGGTGATCTAAAGCATACGGATACATCCCGACTCGACTGAAGTCTCCATATGAAAAGAGAACATCGTTCACATTTCTTGCAGTGCACCTGCCAGCCTATGTGTGTTTTTTCACTTCGCATCGGCAGAGAATGACTTCTTTTTTCAGGTTCATCAGCAAATCCAAGTCGGGTTGGCTTTCTGGACGTTTTGACCTGTAGACAAGTTGCTCATCCTCTTGGGTGTAGTGTGGCAAAGAAAGGATCCTTTTGGAAGTTCCCCTCCCAAGACCCAAGATTCTTTGGGCATTGGATGCGATTCCAAGCTGCTGCCTCCATGCCATGCTTACCTCACTTGCTGATGTTGTTTCTGTTTTTGTTTGAAGCTGTGGTGCTTCGTTGCGGGTACCTTTTTGTCAGAGGCCCCTGGCCCTTTAAAGCCACCGCGACGCTTTGGCCCTGTGCTTCAGTTGCGAGGTCTCGAAAACAACCTCAACCTAGTCCCATCATAGAGTGTCTAGTGAAGAGTGCAAAACATGTCGTTCTTCGACCTCTCAGAGCCTCTCTTGTTGGCGTCGCCGTCGCCAATGGCTCTCCGCTGTCGCCGTCGTGTCGCCCGTCGTGTCGCCCGTCATCCGCCGTCATCTTGTTGGTCACAGGCTTCACCCTGAGCGGGTGCGTGCAAAAGGCGCCGGGATATGCCGGGATCAACGTCACCGGCAGGGCGGGCCTTTTGACCCGAGGCTTCCGCGGCTGGAAGGATTCTGGCACCCCGGTGATGACATCTGAATGTCCCAACAAACCATGGACCATAGCAAGGTGAGATGCCTACATTAAACCCTGGAATTAACCATTATACAATATGCCTTTTTCCTTTGCGGTTGCGGAAGACAGCGTCTGTGGCCGCCCATGCTCATTATATACCACACCAATATAGGTGAATATGCCAGTGCCAGTGCCATGGGATGTGTGAAATTCAGGAGTGGACCGGGACCATCCGTCCGGGATGTCGAAGTTTATACAGCCGTGCTCTGCCTCAAAACGGCTTCGATTGGGTACTCAGACATGGATGGTCCCGGCATGTCGTTCTATGTCGTACGTCAAGGGGAGCAGCTTGTTGCGAATGGGATCGAATGGGTCTTCTTTAGCCCTAGGGCTCCAGTACCTCCTCAGAAGGTATGACTGGACCCGGCACCCACCCCAGTCCCACCTTCTTAGAAGGTACGACTGGAGCCCTAGGGTAGAATGGAATGCTACTTCTTCGATCTGGTTCAGTCCTGCGGTCTTGTTTGTGGACACTCATCACTCCTTATCACTGGTGATCATGCCAAAGACCTCCATTGTGGCGCAGTGAAATGGATGGAGTCCAATTGGATCCAGCATCAGTTTGAGCAGATTCCGATTTAGCCTTCGGGTGCACCAAATATATACACTCGAGAACTCCCGATTTTCCAGCTTCTTGATTCACGTCGTGACCTCAAGAGAAGATAGAGAAGGTCCCCAGAACTCAGCCAATTGAGCCATCCCTAAGCCATCCAGCAACATCCCAGATCTCAGTCGCTTAGGTCTTAGGTCACTTAAGGGTCACTTAAGCAGAACCAGGCGACTCTATGCCTCGACCGTCCGGTCAGACGGGTCGGTCGCTAGGCACCCCAGCCCAGCCTGAAGCCTACCCAGGCATGTCGATCATCTTGGAAAAAAACCGGTTTTGATGGACATAAAGGGGAAACTTGTTCATTATAAATGTTTTCCTACGATTTCCTACTGACATCCAGCTAGATAGTTTGGGTTCCGAACTATAACTAGATCTAGGATTTTCCTTGTCCAGCCTTCCTTCCGAAGTCAGGACCGACCGTCCGTGGTCAGCGACTCCACTCAGAAGTCTCCTCGCACCGAAGTCTCCGAGTCTCCAAACCGGTCGGCAGTCTCCGCTCGTCGACGGATCCGGTCGACCGGTTTGGACGGCGGAAGAAACCACCAGGTGCCGTGTCAAAGGCCGGTGATCCCCGCTGGCTGCTTCTATGCTGGGGACCTTGGGACCGTTGGGATGGGGAAAGAAGACGGAGGAGCAACGAAAGACGACGGAGAAGACACAGATGGGACAAGACTTCCTCGGAAGTTGTTGGATCCTTTTGCTTTTGCAAGAATTGTTTGTGGAATGGTTTTTAGACAAGAGACTCTGGAACGTTTGGTTTTGGATAGCATGAACTTATATATGAATTGTTGCACTATGTTCCGCTAGAAGAGTCTTGGACACCAGCACTGGATGAAGGATCAGCTTCAGGTTGTATTTTTGGTATATTTTGGGTGGATTTGCCATAGTGATTGTTATGCTTTCAGGGAAGACCAGGCAAATGCTTTTGAAAGACTTCTCTAATCATAGATGGGCAATGCGCCGCCTGAAAACCACTACGCGTTCCTGCAAGACAATTTTGGCATCACCCTACCTTTCCAACAGTCCCAGAAATAGCAAGTGACCAGGCGGCTTGGGCTGTTCTATCGCACTCGAAAGGCAACTGGCAGGCTGGGACTAGGACACTTAAATCATGGGGGTCCAGACCTCTTTGCGCCACTGCAGGGACTCCTTGCTGGCTGCATTCGCGGTCGCGCGATCTCGCTCTCCTGCGCGCTGCTTAGGCTTCCACGTGCTCCAATGAGATTTTGCCCGGCACGAGCTGTGAGATCCAGTGCAAGAGCCCGTGCGCGTCGGATCGCGTCCTCGTCCACCGGTCCGAGGGGGAGCAACATCGAATCACATTCCCTAGGGATCCAGTCGTGCCTTCTCAGAAGGTACGACTGGACCCTCCAAACCTACATAACAGTGTCGAACACATCACCTTCTCGGAAGGTACTTGGATCCCTAGGGATTGATTTCGGGCAGCTCCAAAACCCTGAAATCCTCATGCAAGGTCATCCGACGAGCGTCGTCGTCCGAGTCTATAGGGGTCTTTTGGGGCGAAGGTCATCATGATTGGGAAGGGAGTGTCACTGCCCTTCCCACACGGACACGGATTCCGACCCAGGAAGAGCTACCCAGCAGAAAAATGCGGGAACCAGCGGGCCTGGGCACAAGAGTTTCTTGATTGAATCGGATCATCCCGTGCTCTGGTGGGTTGAACTCTGTGGCAGGTGCTTCTGCAGGTTTTTTGTTTCCCCAATTCAGTGAAAGAAAGAGGCGAAGTGACGCTAGCTCACATGAGGATCGGAGAACGGAGAATTAATGTATATGACAAAGCCTTTGGTCCACACATCGTGTGAGACTTGCTCGAAGTCCAGGTACTTTGGCAACGCGACCACTGCCAGCTGCCGCTTCGCACTGGAAATTCAGCATGCGCGGGCGTATCGAAGTGTTTTGATATTTTTTGGGGCCTGCTGCCGTTTGCGTGGTGCTGGGAAATCTCATCCCTAAGAAGTCAGAGATTCTTGTAGGAACAAGAAACTACTAGGGGCTCCTGGCATCGCTACTAGGAACAAGAAGCTACTAGGGGCTCCTGGCCTTACTACTAGGAGCAAGAGGACGCTACTAGGGGCTCTGAATGCCAGGAAGATCCATGGGACTAGACTAGGGACTCGATTGGTCCAAACTTGGAGTGGCTGCCAGCCCGACGAGCGACATCCAGCCGAGCAAAAGCGGAGCCGGAGACCCGTTCCCCTGCGAGTCACAGACAGGGAGGGAAATCCGAAAGCTGGGAGATCCATCCATGGCACTGAAAGCGTGTATTCTTTTAGTCCAGCTTCTTGAATAGTGACCTTTTTGACACCCCCGAAGTGACCTGACAGGATCTCACAGGGTCACTTTGAAGAACCAGGTATACTTTACAATGTGACTGACCTTGATTGGTCAGAGATTGGTGGAACTGCAACGAGTCCAGTTTCATGGATGGTCCGGCAAGGTCAATGCCTTTTTGGGGGCAAAGATCCAGATTGGCCACTGGCTGAGCAGTGCACCTGCTCCCTTTGACCATGGGAACCTTTAGACTCAGACCTGGCGGCCCGCCGAACTCCAGGCGACGATGAAAACACCCTGGTGAACGCGGACACGGACTACGAGTTGCCGAACTGTCGGACGTCTCAGCCGAACGGTCAGAGCAGTGAGAAGGCCATGGGGGTTGGCGGTTCCAGATCCCCTCATTCGTCCATAATGGTTTACGCATGCATGAGATGGGGTTAGCCGCTGTTAGCCAATAGCCCAGACACGACCTGTCTGGGACTGCCACAAAATGGCATTCATGGCCCAAATGGGGGGGGTGGTTAAAAAAGGGGTCAATGTACCGTGGGTCCCTCACTGCCAGGTCACCACCCGCGACTTCACAAAGTCTCCAAAAGCCAGGTCGGAGAACTGTATACAGTCGGGTGCTGTTGTTGGGCATTTGTTCCATCAATGGCCACCGTGAAGACCTCGGTGAACCGCGCGACGCTCGCGCGACAGCGCTCCTCGGTGCGGAGGTGAGACTTCGGATGTGATAGAAATCGACTGTCGGACGCTATAGCTATAGTGATCCCAACGGACGGATGAGATGGAATTGATATGAATTGATACACTCCCTGAGTTACGTTCATTTTTGAAGTGGAGTAGAGAAACCACCTACCATGCCATCAGCAAGAACTACAGTATTTTAAATACCAGCAGTCACAAGACGGGGTGCTATCCATGGAGGAAGTCGGGGTGCCCCTGTCACATCCACTCACTGGATGGGACCAAAAACCACCCCGACATGTGACTCTTGGTGCCTCAGAATTTCAGAGATTTGCACAAACTATTAATACAAACACCTTCTAAGAAGGTACTTGGAGCCCTAGGGAATACCAAGATTCCTTGAATCTGTTGATGACCTCTACTGGTTTTTTCTGCAGAACTGCAGAACAAAATCACGTCTTCTATCCAAAGCCAAGCCCACCTGACCACCACCCACCCTCTAGCTGGTCCCCGAACCCCATTCACTGCATCGACCAGGTCCGTGTGGAGTGCGAAATCGTCGCATGCGTCGGCTCAGGTAGCCTTCAATGCCCAGACATCCCAGTGGACCTCACTGAGGCCACCGGGGGCCACCGGGGGCCACCGGCGCGCACCGGCGCGGTTGACCGAGGAGGACACCGACACCCAGGAGCGGACGTTAGCTGTCTCAGTGTCTCCTTCCTCACTCGAAGGGGAACGGGAGGTAAATGGGATGGACGATGGCAATCCATCCATGTTTTGGTAGGTGATTTGGTTATTTCCAGAAGTCCAATAGTCGACTAATAGTGCATGATGGATTGCCATGATATGGAGGCAAAGAGTGGAGGATGTGTTGGTTCCAGAAGTCCAATAGTCGACTAATATGTATCGTATACTTCCATATCGAAGTGGATCATGGCACGAGACCCAGAAAAGGAGGGCCTCTGAATTCCTGGCAGCCCGAGAAGTGTCCCTGCAAGTGGAATTATATGTTCTGTTTTGTGCTCTTGCAGTGGTTAGTATGGTTCACAGTTTGATTTCGGACTCACACATACTCCATCATACTCCTCTCACCCGCATGTCACGACCACCAGCTTGTCTCACCTATAGAACCCCCCCCCATCCCAGATCTCAGAGCCTCATCTCACCTCCAGTTCTGGCACCCTTCATGTTAGACCATCCATCCGACATGTCGTTCGACCTTCAGATGATCATGAACTGATGTTTTTTGGATGTACGAAAAGGGTTTATACAACATGGAACCTTCAAACCTGGGGTGGCGCTTTGGCCGCCTGTTTTAAGAAAGAAACAATCTTTGCTCTGGTGTTTCCGGGCTCTGAATACTTATCGGTCTGATTTTTCGACCGATCAAAAACATGAAGTTGGATTTGGCGGTGGAGCTGCAAACCCGAAGCAGGGGGACGCCTTTTTTGTAGCTATTGACTCAATCTTCCCAAGATGAGGTGATGTTAACATACCAGGGACTACCCAACTGGGACCCTGGTCTGTGGTACATATGGGATGGGCGACCAAGGGCTGTTCAACCTCTCTTGGATGGACCTTCAGACTGGACACCCAGAGGATGATCCTGGTTTTCGCTCCGTTAGGCTTATGTGCGTGCAGCTGATGGAACTTGGGAATGCAACAGCAGCGGATACCTTGGAAGACCCGCCCGTGTGCCCGGAAAGACCGGAACAGCGGGAGAAGGAAGCGAAAGGTCAGGATCAGCTAGAACTCCACGAAGTCTCTTCACCCCCAAGTCTCTACCCAGACGAGTGACGAATGGGTGCGGGTTAACATGGAGTCCCAAAAGGACACTGGCCCAGGTATTCGGAACATGGTTTTCTACGGGTGAATCCTCCGGTTCCATGTTAGCTTGCGGGCGGGTCAATCACTGAGCAACATTCAACCGTAACCCCATCCATTTCTGACCTAACGATTTCAGTTTTATGGATGGTTCGGGCCAAAGTGGTTTTCAGGACCGTTAAGGGCGACCAAGCTGGTGCTGGGCAGGGGGAACATGTTTGTTGTCATTTTTTGTCATTTTTTTGGTTTTATGGGGCTTTGGAGCGTTGGTATTTAATCGGTTCGGGTACGGGGTCCCTGCTCAGCAGTACCACCCCGTACCGTCGCGCAGTACCTGCGACCAAAGGATTGGACCAAAGGGATTGGACCTGAGTTCCGGGTAGCTGGTTGTTTGGTGGAGAGACGTGAAGTATGGGATAGACGAGGAAGGGCTGGTTCAACCTTGGTAGGCTGTGACATCAATGACTGAGAGCAGGTGTTGAAAAATCACAAGCTCAGTCCCCAGAACGGCTATAATCTAGAAGATGCTAGAAGGCGAAGGCTGATGTTGTTTAAATACGATTTTGCCAAACAACAATTGTTTTACCGAGGGTTGTAGACTTCTAAGCCAGGTCTTTTAGTCATTTTTCTGGTCTTGGAAGGCTATAGGGGATATGCAAATAAAAGCACAGGGGCCATAATGAACATAGTGATCCGTCAATACCAAAGACTCCTTCATCGCCCCCAAATGCTACTCTGGAATATTAACATGGAATCTGAAAGCCCCTGGTTAGAGGAATCTAGTCTTCCAAAGGTCCCTGTTTAGATTCCATGTTCATCTTCCCAGGTGTCCTTCACATCTCACATCCCCACCGCCGTCCACCCCCCAAGGTCACGACGTGTAGCGAAGTGGACTGCGTGGGCATTTTGAGCATCAGCGGCTGTTTGCCCATCGTCCCGTGCCTCTCCCCGGACCCCAGGCGGCGGACGCGGGAAAGCGGACGCGACGACGTGTCAACACACGTCCAGCGGTGCGGTGGGTAGACGCGAACTGTGGATCTAGGCACGGTGGCTGGTCGTAGACATGTCTCTCTACAAACAACCGGTCTCTCTTCCCCTTATCAAAGATGCCCTATCAAGTGCCGATTTGTTCCAAGAATGTGATGAAATGTCATCAGTCAATGGAGACAGTCACACAGTGGCACACACTCCTTCAAACCTTCTGCATGGCTCTATTTGTGGTGCCATTTGAGGACGGCGCTTCACCCTGGACAGGTTGGAGTGTTTTCGTGACGTAGCCATGTGTCCTACGGAGCGGAGGGGGAACTCTTGGTAGCTTTTCCATTGAAGGTTGACCTCCCTTAATAGAGGAATCGGAATCTGTTCATTTGATCCGGGGGTCAGCCAGTTTTTCCCCACCTGCCAGGTGAGGGTTGTTAGATTTTATCACAGTTGTTCTTCCTCCTCCTCCTCCTTCCTTCCTCCTTCCTCCTTGCTTCCTTTCTCGCCAATCTTCATCGCCTCGCCAATCTGCATCGCCAATCTTCATCGCCAATCTGCTTCGCCAATCTGCTTCGCCGATCTTGTCTCCCCTCGCAGTGTGCACCCCTGGACCTCAACCGCAAGGATCCGATCGCAGTGTGCACCCCTGGACCTCAACCAGATAGTTTGCCAGATAAAATGCCAGATAGAATGCCAAGTAGATTGCCAGATAGAATGCTGCAAGAAGATATGCCAGATAGTATGCCAAATAGTGTGTCAGATAGATTGCTAGATACATTGCCAGATAGAATGCCAGAAAATATGCCAGATAGAATGCCAGACAAAATGCCAGATAGAATGCCAGACAGTATGCCAGATAGTATGTCAGATAGATTGCCAGATAGAATGGCAGATAGTATGCTTCAAGCACACAACCACAAACACAACCACAAGCTCACAACCACAAGCTCACAACCACAAACACAACCACAAACACACAAATACAAACACAAAGCCACAAGCACACAGCCACAAACACAACCACAAACACGCAACCACAACCACAACCACAAACACAACAACAAACACAACCACAAACATAACAACAAACACACACACACACACAAAGACACAACAATCGACACACAACCACAGACACACAACCACAAACACTCAACCACAAACACACAACCACAACAACAAAACCACAAAGACACAACCACAAACATAACAACAAACGCACACCCACAATCACACAACAATAGACACACAACCACAAGCACAACCACAAACACACAACCACAAACACACAACCACAACAACACAACCACAAAGACACAACCACACACACAACCACAAACACAACCAGAAACACACAATCACAAATACACAATCACAATCACAACCACAACCACAACACACAACCACAAACACAATCACAAACACAACCACAGCACACAACCACAAACACAACCACACACACACACCCACAAACATAACAACAAACACACAACCACAAAGACACAACAATAAACACACAACCACAAACACAACCACAAACACACAACTACAAACACAACCGCAACCACATCCACAAACACACAACCACAAACACACAACCACAAACACAACCACAAACACACAACCACAAACACGCAACCACAACAGCACGACCACAAAGACACAACCACAAACGTACAGCCACAAGCACAACCGCAAACACATCCACAAACACACAATCACAAACACACAGCCACAAACACACAATCACAAACACAACCACAACCACAACACAGCACACAACCACAACCACAACACAACCGCAGCACACAACTCGAGGACCCACAAGCAAAATCGAGAACTACAATACTCACGACCATGGCAACATGCTCCTCACTATGGCATCAAGTCAAATGATTGAAATGTCATGGTGGGGATCACTCGAAGTAAAGTATTTTTTTCTTTTGACCTAAAAGGGCAGGTTTCTGACTTGCCGCACCCTCATCGAGTTCCCGTGTCAATGACCTGCTTTTCGTGCATTTGGTCTCACGACCCGACTGTGATCAGATGGATTATAGGTAACATGGCAGCCAAGTGATAGGCTCGACATCACCCAGCTTACTTCCTGAAGAATCCCTCAGTGAGTTGACGTTTCTTCGAGACTTGTGAACCAGGTTGAGCAAGTTGGCACCATCAACATCTCCATTCACGAGGTTGAAGTAGTATTCCGCACCTGAAGCCTTTGACATTCATACCATTTTTATTTCAAGGGATCCAGACGCATCCAGAACACTAGACGATGGCTTGTTACATCCTTTCAAACCATTGGTTGGTTGATTCATAGAGGGATGACCCCCGGATCAAACAACCAACAAAAGAGGTATATGACCCCAGATGGAACAACCATACAGGTACCGGGGGTCACAAAGGGGTGGTTTTTAGTCCCATCCAGTGAGTCCCTATTCTCCAATAGGCACCCCTTTGTGACGCCTTGGCATCCACCCCTCGACCTTCGTCCCCTTCGTCCCCTTCGTCCCGACCATTCGATGTCGTTCTGCCGCGGGTCCTGGGCCGCGCCGTAGGTCCTTAGACATTTGCCAGTTCAGCTTCTCAGGCGATTGGGATTAGTTCTGCTTCGGGTCCACCGGGGGGTTCGACGGTGAGACCAGGATCATCCTGTCTGGGTGTCCTGGCTAGACGTCTACCTACCCTACGTATAAATAGGTCTCCAGTGCTAGGGGCACCCATTGCAAGTGCTAGGGACTTCTATTGCTACCCAGGGGATCCAAGTACCTTCTCAGAAGGTGATTGTAGACTATTGTAGGTGCCAGGAGGGTTCAGTGGTACCTTCTGAGGTGCTGTACGACTGGATCCCTAGGGCTAGTATGAACCGAAGTCGTGGCTTACCATTTTCCATAGGCATCCAACTATAGGTCTTCCCTATCAACAGGACCACCAACGGCCGTTTGTGAGTCCGAAAACTGATGGTTCCGTTTTTGTCGGGCGAAGCCCCTGAAGTGGGGAAGAGTGTTTATAGGTTGTTATTAGTCTTTTTCTTTTTTGTTTCGGGTTCTTCAAGCCAAGCTAAGTGTTGCTCGCAAATGTTTGGAGCTGTAGTTGGTGGAGCGACCATCGTTTTCCATCACTTCTGACTCCACGTACGGGAGTCGCCAGTGTTCAACGTATAGATCCAAGACGGAACATTCACAACATGTGTTAATATAATATACATTTGTTATCATTTGTTATAATGATCGAATTTGTTTGAAGCTTCCTTTGCACCAAAACCTGGGGATCGAAACGGGGCTTCTCTCGTCTTTCGTGCCTCGAAGCTCGCGGAGGGCATTTCTCGGCACTAGGCTGCGACACCTTGACGCCCGGCACCAGTTGCAATGTGAGCTGCGAAGCGCCATACATAGGCCGAAGAGATTTGAAGAGATTCGCGAATCTCGCGTGAGGGTGCGCAGGGTGCGCAGGTTTTGCGAGTCTTCATTTTTGGGGATGCAAGGGTGGAGAGGTTTTGCCAGCTCAGTTCCGCCACCCTGGGGTTTCCTGGGCAGGAACAAGTGATTTGTGGCCGTGGCTGCTGATACATGTGATACTGAAGAACTATAGGACCTAAAGTGGATCCGTGATCTTTTTGAGTTCGGATTCTATAGAAACATTGACATCACAACAATCTCATCAAAAGTCTTGGCGTTGTTGGGCATTCTGCCGCCATCTGAGTGGAACAGATGGCCCAACATCTTCAGACCAGTCCAGCCATTGCTGCGACTGTGTGGAAGGATTTTTTTCAGATGGACTGGAGATGGATGTTCGGATGGTTGATAACTGTTGCTGATATACGTGTTTCTTTTACAGTAATTAGAACCAATTGAATACAAACCATGATCCACAAAAACCGCACTTGGCTCTGATATGCTTTGATAGTTGAATATTTTACGGATCATGGTCAAACGCCTGGTCTTTTGATTTGACACTGTTCCAAGACTCCTCAAACGGCTACTTACACATGTCACATGACATGAACCTTTCCTCCTGAGAGTCCTCAGTTCAAGTTTGTGCTTTTGTTGATATCTTGTTGTGTTTGGTTAACGTGACATCACCCAGTCAACCTGAACAGTATCTCTGAAACCGCAAGGAGAGCAGAACAAGGTTTCTCTTCAAACAGTGGGCGAGAGTGATCCCATTTCCACCATCTCACCCACCGACATGACCCCACAAGAAAGCTGCCAGAAAGAAGCACTCAGCAGTACTTCATCGGCCTGATTCCACAAACCGTTCAACCTCAGGATCCAGCCCATCCATCCGTCTAGGACTCCAAGTACCTCAGGTTCGGTATGACTGGACCCCAACCCAATCTAACCCACCGGAGGACTAGCCTCCTGCGATGCCGTCTGACGATGACATATTATGATGAAGTTATTTCAGGATCATGAAGTTATTTCATTAGAACCATATGATATATATATATATATATATTATACTAAACATGTATAAACCATATATATATATATACGGTTACGCCATTAAAATATGTGGAGGGCGGCCCAGGGCTGATCTCCGCATATTTAAATGTGCAGTTCTTTCATCATTCACAACAATCGACACATAGCAGGATTCCCGGGCCTTATGTGGGGGCCTTGGCTGGCCTCACGTCATGGGGTAAGGCCTCCACGTAGGACCGGCCAAGGCCTCCACGTAGGGCCGGTGAAGTCCTCCACCTGGGACCGGTGAAGGCCTCCACATAGGACCGGTGAAGTCCTCCACCTAGGACCGGTGAAGGCCTCCACGTAGGGCCGGTGAAGTCCTCCACCTAGGACCGGTGAAGGCCTCCACTCCACATAGGACCGGCCAAGGCCTGCACGTGGGACCGGTGAAGGCCTCCACGTAGAGCCGGTGAAGGCCTCC